ACATCTAACTACCCTGGTACCTCTCCACTAGTTACCTGCTACATTCATCCCCCTTCTTCCCTCCCCCACAACCTGTCTCACCCACTGACTCCTCAGTTTACATCTTCCCTGACTGGCTTTCTTGTATGCATACCAGCCTCTGGCTGCTTTAATATTTATGCCATCCAGGAAGAGTGCACACCAACTGCAGATGCTTCTTCAGCCTGACAAAAGACACTTAAATCTGAAAGCTTGCTAAGAAGAATTTTCCAACTATTTTAGTCGGTCTAATAAAAGATGCCAGATTTACCCAAATAACTGTTTAGTTATCCCCTTGTCATGGTGTCAGGCTTCCTTGCTTATTTGTTAAATTTGTGGCACTCAAGGGCTCCCATTAAATTAAAATGTTATTGTGTTGTGTCAAACAAGTATAAGCTGGTTTTAAGCAGATAAAAGGTTTCTCTTTCTCCATAAATCATGGACAGCTTACAATTGGAAACAGAATGAAAGGTAACAAAATATTTCTAAATGAAATAGAGCAGTGTAATACAAAATAAATGCATTATTAATGATCTCAAAAGGCATTTAACAGTGTGGAGGGCATTTTTCAGGCAAAACTTGCATAAATTATATGGATTCTAGATGTTCCAAAAATAGTTATAGTATAATTTTTTTATAGTAAAATGGTTTGACTACCAAATGATAGCCTTAGTCAAGTCAAACAATCTAAAGGCATAGATAGCAGAGTTCTGGTTTGCTCATGAATTACTGCTAATACTTTTCTAAGACCTCATAACTCTTTCATAGCTAAGTTTTCCAGAAAATTTGTTTCACCAAGGAAGAATTGGGGAAGGATTCAAGTCTATATAACATGTACGTTTAATAGGTCTGAGTGTGGAAGTTCAATAACGGGAGGAATGCATGTGTTCATAGTGTTTCAAGGCTCATTCAACTGACCACAAACTTGCTTCCATAATGAATTATTATGGCCTGGATAGGATTAAAAAAATACAGACTACATATTTGTATAAGAACTGAACAACATTGCTGGAGAAAGCTAGGCAATGGAGAAAGGAATGTGATTGGTCAAGGGCTGGTGAATGCAAACCATGAAGTGAGACCTATGTGAGACTAGGAAGAACAGAGTTTGTGTTGAAGTGAAACAGGAAGCCAGAAGGCTGGTCATCAGACCTGTATATGTGAAATCTAGAGCAGATAACCTGTTTTTTCTTTTCTTTGAGGGGCAGGAATTTTTGTGAGTGATTGTTTGTTATTTATTAGACAGACTGTATAGTTGGGAGGGATATAGACAAGTTTCTGGTACCTATACAGATGGTCTAATAAATATGACCCACAAAAATCCCTGCTTTCACATTTGGCTCCCTCTACACATGTATTATACAATTAACTGATTACTTGTTCAGTTAGAATGGCTATATGTGCAGAGTAGCTATCACACCATAAAAATGTTCATCCAGATATAAAGTTAGAACTTGAAAATGTGTAAGAACTTTTATAGTTGGTTTCTGTCTAGCTTTAATTTGAATGTGTAGCAAGGATACCTCCGTGGCTGGGAGCTCCATCAGCTGCAGGGCTGCCAGCCACAGCAATGAGTGGGGGCTTGCTGGAGCTGTTAGTCCCATCAGCTGCACAGCTGCTTGCTATGGCAACACATGGGGCACTGCCATGGCTGTGAGCCCCTCAGGTGTGGGACTTGCAGCTGCAGGAGTTTGCTACTTCCTGGTGCAGAAGGAGCTCAGGATTGCAATCCCAGGTTTCCCCTGCACTGGCATTAAGGCATAATTGGATCCGATGCTGGATCCCACAGTCATGCCTCCTGTCATGAGGGGTGCCTAAAGCACTCAAAAGATTCCAGGTATTCAGAGAATTGTTCCAAGTAATAATTGGTTATCTAGAAACTGATCAAAGAAACTGACAGCATGCCATGTAACCAGAACTCCAAGAAATGGGCCAGATACAAACTAGTTGTGGTGAAACCAGAGAAGCACAAGGTATTCTGGAATCGGAGTATGGGGGAAGATGGGGTAAGTGTGACACGTGGGCTATGTACTTGATATTCGAACAGGAAAGAGAAAATGTCAGCACTCCCACATTGTTTGAGAGCTTTAAAGTCTTCGAACAGACTGAAGCAGAGAGGACTAAAAAAGAGGACCTTACTGGAATAAGGTGCTCAAATTCCATTGAGTTTCTTTTCATCCTATTATGCCTTAAACTTTCAAATTCAAAAAAGTCAATGTTAGTGCAGGTGATTTTGGAAGAATTTGGTCACAGATCACGATTAGCAGAGAATGGTAAGGGAATTTTGGGTTGCATACATTTCATTTCTGATTAATGTGAATTCTAGAATTTGTGACTATAGTTCTAAACTGAAATGATCTGAGCTGGTTTAGTAACATTAAGAGGCTACTGTTTAATCTCAATTGTTAAAAACCCAATTAATTTAAAATATTTATTGTGTGAGAGATGTATTAGTGCAGTAAAATAAGAGCAGGCAATTTTTTTTATTGGTTTAATTGGATACTCACAAACTGCTGTTTTGTGTAATGTTTTCATATTTTATTTAGAGGATGGAAATACTAAAATACTGTTAAGGAAAGTTTTCATTATAAACTTTAATTTTTTGTTCATAATTGTTTTAAAATTGTGTGATTTGCCCTCTTCTAAGATAAAGATTATTAGAAATAAAAGGTGCAGCTGAGAATTTAAAGTGGAACTTCTGGGGGTAGAAGTTAATTTTCAGAGACCTGTGTAACAGGACTTTGATAAACTACCCTGTTTTTACTTGGTAATTATTACGTAGTATTGTCTGCTGTTCAAACAAATTTCTGTGCTAAGCTACTGCTGTGTTGCATGGATTTACTTATTTAGAGAATTATAGGGACAATACCTTTGGGATTTTACATGACTTCAGACTTGGTCTCAATAGTACATTTCTTAAGTGGATTAGAATTGTGGGCTATTCATCAAGCACCAAAACATTTCCATAAAAAATTTAAAAACTGACTTGAAGTACATTGAATGGTTCCCCTTGTGATCCACACTTGGCCTCTGCCAAATTAATGTTTGGCTTCATAGAGGGGAAAGTTTGGAGAATGTTCTACAATGTCCCCTTCCATAAAGTCATCTTTCTTTGTTGATTGGTTACAACTCATCCTTACTAGTCCTTCTGAGAGCAAGGTGTCAACTGCCATTTAATGGTAAACAGGTTGCATTTGAGCTCGTGTGTGTGTGTGTGTGTGTGTGTACACACATACAATATATATATGGCTTTCAAGTTGAGAAAAGAATAAAAGATGCATAACTAGAGCTGGTATGATTAATGGCATGACATTTTTCTTGGAATATTCCACTTTTATTTTTTTTTCCTTGAAGTCTTCTTGTAACTGGCTTTCCATACCCTTCTCTCTTATAGTCATTGAGAATATGAGCCAGATGGATGTGATGAATAAAAGCTTTTGTAAATGTTCAACCCTAGAGAGCTGTTTCACCAGTCAGGAAGAGAACACAAAACCCAACCTCTTAGGGCACAGTTGTTCAAAAGGACAAATAAAATGCAAAGTAAAACTCAGCTGAACAATGCTGGCTATAGTTCCCAGAGGCTTTTCTGTCTTCCACCTGGCAAAAAGAACACGCCTGTAGATCTAGCTGCTGCTTTCCTGTGTATTCAGCTCAGCTGCGTGATAGGTTTGGGTCCCTTACCTATTTCCAGGCTGCTACTTTGTTTTGTCATGCCTGGATATACACTTTATGTGGGAGTTCCATATAAAGTTTGATTAAAAATGCTTAGGGAAAAAAAATTCAGATTTATCAGTGTTCGGAGGAAACTTAGGTTTTAGGAATTCCATTAAGCTTTATGCTTTAAACCAGTATCTAAGTAGTAGAAATCAAAGTGATACCTATTGTGGGAGGGGACAAATCCTCCTGTATCAGCCTATTGCAAAGTTCCTACAACTTTTCTTCCAAGACATGTGGACCTGGTCACTGTCAGGTGATTGGTCAAAGCAGATCTCCTGTTGACCCTGCATAGTAACACCTGTTTTCCTGTTTTGTATAACTGATGTAAAATGCTGTTTATTCAAACCCACGTGGATTTGAAATTATCAAAGAAAGTTATGGCCAGTTTACAGATATTTTAAAAGTATATTGGCAGTTGGGATTTAAAATGCTTATGGCCCACACCAAAAAAACAATCGAGGCTAAAAATTATATCCATTTAATATCTAGTGCAGTATTTTAATTTAATTTTATAATTTATGGTTTTCTACATACTGTACCTGTAGAAAACCAGCTTTTTTTGTAGTGTAAGGGAGATAATATATGCAGATGGGAGTTTAATGTCCATTGTAATGTTTGTTTTTGAAATAGTTGCCTGTTATGTGCTGTGCATTTAGGATAGTCTTCCTGAGAGGAATTATTTGGCTCTCAAACACTTTAATTCAACGTTGTTGATTAGCTAAAGTTTGCACCCAGCAGAGTTTATTTGTGTATTTATGCAAGGACACCATTGTATGTTTTAATTCTGTCTATCTTGTACTTCTGTTATTAGCCTGAAACTAGTCATCTAATTGCACTCTATGAAAAGACACAGCAATTACTACCATTAAAGTGCATGCAGAAAACTGAAGGTTGCAGCATATAATGCCATCATAATCAGTTTCTGGATCATTTACTCTGTCATAACTGGAATGTTGAATTAAATTTTTAGTGTTCGTAGTAGTTACCCAAACATGTCACACAGTTGCCAAGACTAACATAATTTTTAGTGCAGATTCATTCACTCTCTGTGTGTGTGTGTGTGTGTGTGTGTGTGTGTGGATCAGAAAGAGACTGACTTAAAAAAACAAGTTTAAATTCAGGTTAGCTGCTTCCTAAAGCCTCTGTTATGGAAGGGGTTAAGACAAAGTATTTAACACAGCATGTGTGAACATTTCCCCTCACTCCTCCTTTTCCCTTTCCAACTGATGTGACTATGTTTGTTTGTGTTTTAATTACTTCTCCAGGTTCAGTCCATGCAACATCAATAGCAGCCTCCAGAGTGGAACAGGCACTGTCGGAGGTTGCTTCATCTTTGCAGAGTAGTGCTCCTAAACAAGGTCCTCTGCATCCTTGGATGACTCTGGCTCAAATCTGGCTCCATGCAGGTACTGTAAACAAACTCTTTTGTCCTCCCTAGCCTGTGCAATCGCAGGAATATGTACTTATTTTCATTCAGCAGATTAGAATCTATTACTGTTTGTCAGCTGAAATTTGAGCTTCTAAAGATGCATTCAGAATGTGGTATCCTGGTTCAGTTAAAAACAGGAACCTTATTTTAATTTATGAAACAGTGGTCAATGAGGATGGCATTTAGCATTTAATTTTATAATCTTGGCCAAAAGTTGATGCATTTTCTCACCATAACTTAATACAGTCTGTTACAGATTTATAAAATACCTCATTTGACATAGTTATCCTTGAATATTTTGCAATATTTTGTGGAACTTCTTAATGAACTTTAGGCAACAAAGGAATGTTTAATAGTCATGCGGTCCTAATGTTAAACCCAAAACTTAGCAACGATGAACTTAAAATTAAAAATATAAATTGTGTACTGTTCCTAGTGCTGGGGAAAAGGGATAAAATATGTAAAGCATTTTTTTTCTTCTAAGCTGCATTAGTTGGGTTCATATACTAAAAGAAGTGGTACTCCTCTCTCTATTCAGCATTGGTGAGGCCTCAGCTGGAGTACTGTGTCCACTTCTGGGCACCGCACTTCAAGACGGATGTGGATAAGCTTAAGAGGGTACAAAGAAGGGCCACCTGTATGATTAAGGGCATGGAGGATAGGCCCTGTGAGGAGAGACTCTGGGAACTGGGTTTGTTCAGTCTGAGTAAGAGAAGGCTGAGGTAACTTGATAGCTGCCTACACGTATGTCAAGGGTGAACATCAAGTACTAGGGGAGCAAGTCTTCAGGAAGGCAACAACAGGCATAAATTAATAGAGGATAAATTCAGACTAGACCTAAAAAAAATCTTTCTCTGTAAGGCTCACCAGAATCTGGAACGCTCCTTAAAGAGGTGCTCAAAATGAGGCTGGACCAGGTGCCTTGTTGAGCTAGTCTGAGCCCAATAACTTCTTGCCCACGGCATGGGACCAGACTTGATGATCTATGGTTCTGATTCTGTAATTTTAAGAAGACAGCTTTTATTTTTAAAAGGGAAATGTATATGTTCCTTCTGCTTTTCCCCTGTGCCATAAGTTTGGGTAATTCTAATGTGTAAAAGTATTTCAACTACAAGGGTGTCAGAACAATACTTATTAAAGCTGTTGTTTTCATGTGAGTGAGTATAGATTGGACCTGAAAGGCATCTGTTTGAAGTAGCCTTGTGAACATTACATGCAGTGTTCCAGCTGTAAATTTAGAAGTTGAACATTTTCTTTATGTTCTTTTCTGCATCTGCCATGAAGGTAGATAGAGCCCTGTGGCAAAGCAAGCAAAAGCCTTGGCCCAAAATCTGGACTAGGCCTCTAGGCCAGCACTGTGAAGCATGGGTATTTGGCCAGTTGGCTAACTGGTAAAGTTTTATTACACCTACCATGGCAAATCAGTTTCAGTGGGTATACTTTCTTCTTGTTACATATAATCAAGTCAGTATATCAGATTTTTTAGTGATTTTAATTCATTTTTAAATGGAAGGAAAACTTTTTATCTGGGGGGTGGGGTCAGTTGGTGGAGCATTTGTAAGTATAAGATAAAGCAGCAGTTTTGTATGCGGTTTTTATCTGCTGGGTCATATCTTACTCATAGCAATGAAACAGTAGCACTCCTAGCTTCTTGAGAATTTTTAAATACTACTTAGTGTGAAAGGTAGAATACTTTGTTCCACTGGAAGGGTAAAACTGCTTATAGAAACATAAGGTAACCAAGCTAGAAAAAGCTACTATAATAAATGTTCTTTCTGTAGGCCTACCTACCTAGTACAAAAATAATAGTGGGCTTCCTTGGCTTTTCTGTTGTGTCGCACAGTGATAGGTGGGACATTCAGTAACCTTTTCCTCAATGGTAAAAATCTTGGTGAGATAATACAAAAGTGTTGCCTGCTGCATCATACCAAAGTCAGAACTAGAGGGCTTCACTGGTAGATGCTGCATAACTATGTACAGTATGTAAAAACAAGGTCCTCATCAATATTTTTTTAAAGCAGGTAGAAAACCTACAGTTCTTAATGTACAGATCTCAGTCAAGTTAAACAGAGCAGTGGCAGCCATTAAGCCATTGCTGTTTTCAGTATCATTATGTTGGCTTTAAATATGTTTTGTTCTATATACTGCATACCTTTTAGTATTAGTCATACAGTAAAGATGACAATATATCAAAGGTCTCTAAGATACTTGATTACTTAAGGCATTCTATTGCCCATTGGCATGCGTTTAGTATAACTTTTTCCCCTAAATGTTGGAGTTCTGCTCCTCAAGTTCTTGTCATTGAGAAGTAATCCTGTCTGTATTTAGTATTGCTATATCTTTTTATCATGTTTCATTTGACTTGTTTGAATTGTTATTTATATCAGTGTTCCCATCATTAATTCAT